TGTAAGCATGTCTATATTATAATATGTATAACAGAGAATATAATAAAAGGAAATTAAAAGAAACTGATCTGTGTCTCCACCTCCAAAAGGGACTCCAGGTGGTCTGTGAAACATTCCAGTCTGATTCCATCTCACCCAAGGCCACCATTTCTGGCTGCCACCGAGGAAACTCCTTTGATGGAAGCCTATCCTCCCAAACATCCCAGGAACGAGGCCCATCACATTCCAGGTATATGACTGAAATATTAGAGATAAAATATGTACTCTGTTTCCATAATGTAAAGGTATATTTTTAGATACCTTTATAGCCTCTGTTCTTTAAAATATGTATGTGCATTTTTGGTCAAAGTATAATTATGGTAATTAATTACAGAAATGTGCCATGAATGACTTTCATTTAAACAAAGGAGTGTGGAAGTGGGAAGACATGTCCAGTTTAATGAGATATCTTAATTAGATGGTATTTTGAAGTGTTAAGTATAGAAACTCAAACAATGCTATCTAAGTATTATGTTGCAGGGATGTTAAAGTATCTGCTTTAATATGTAAGAATAACTGCTGATCCTTATATTATAAATAGGTGCTTCTGTAGCACTTGGTAATTTGAAAGTCTGTTCTTTGGAACATTCCAACTCTGTCCCCATTATTTGGAATTTGTTTACAAACACCTTCCTCAGACATTAAACTTAGTCTACTTCTTTCTGCTCCATGGTGAAATCACGGATATCTGAATTCATGAGGTTTGCCACTCCATCTATGGAATGTTTCTGCATTCAAATGACATGGCAACCTAGTAGATAATATTTTAATAGAAGGTTTTTTAAGAAACAGATACATTGAGGTACAATGTATATGCCATAAGATTCATTTAAGTATACAATTTAACAGATCAAAAAACGGTAACACTATTACCATAATACAATTTTAGAACAGTTCTCCTACCCCCCAAACATCCCTTTGTGCCTGTTTGCAGTCACTCTCACGCCTATATTATTTTTTTTTTTACCTAAATAAATAAATAAATTTGGAGCTGAGGGAGGCAACAAGTCAGTCACTTGCAAGCCAGGAAGGTGTGATAGAGGAGTTTGGTGTGGTAGACACAGCCGGATTATGCAGATCTTGATGGCCACTGAAGGAGCTTGCACTTTATTCTAAGGTGATTGAATAATATACTGGAAGGGTTTCAGTAGGGAAGTGGAGGGATTAGAGAAAAAGCAATGAGACTACTTGGAAGTAATTACAATAAGCCTGAAGAGAAATATTTGTGGCTAGGACCAAGGTGTTTGTATTGAATTATACTCCTAGACATTCCATATAAATTGAATCACATGGAGCCAGCAGTTGGTATAGTTAGTAGTTAAGGCACTGGGCTCCCAGGTGGTCAACCACAGTTTGAGTCCCGGACACAGCAACTTGAAACTCATGCTGGGTGCATGTGTGTAAATCCGAGGAGGAGAACCAAGGAGAAGAGATCGCAGTGTGGTCATCCACCCGGGGAGTGATTTCTCGCTTTTTCTCTCTCTTTCTGTCTCTGGCAAGTACACACATCCTTATAGCAAAAATCTATTAAAAAAAATCAAAACTTGAATCATACAGTTTGTGGTCTTACAGCTAGTATCATAATGTGAAGTTCATCCATGCCTTAGAATGAAGCAGTAAATCATTCCTTTTTTTTTTTTTTTTTTTGCTGAGTAGTATTCCATTGTTTAGATCTATCACATTTTCTTTATAAATTCATCAGTTAATAGATATTTGAATTCTTTCCACTGTTTCTCTTTCATAATGGTGCTATGAGCATTCACTTACAGATTTTTGTGTGAGCGAAGGCTTGCAATTCTAGAAGTAGAATTTCTAGATTGTATAGCAAATTTATGTTTAATTTTTAAAAAATTATTTTAAAAGAAATAAACCTTTTTTATTAATTTTATGTATTATTTTTTTCAGTAAAGATACTTTATACACATCATCATCAGTATTTTATACATAGTGAACACACATATATCTTTTTTTTGGGGGGGGAGAGAGAGGTTTTTGTTATATGGCACGTGCACTCACCGGAAAGACAGAAAGCGAGAAATCACCCCCTGGGGGGATGGCCATGCTGCAATTGGTACTCCTCCATTCTCCTCTCGGGATCTTGGGCATACACGCATACGTGCGTGGCGTGAGTTTAAGCCACTGAATCTAGGACTCAAACCATGGTCAACTACATGGGAGTCCAGCAACATAGCCATTATGCCATCTGCTGGTCTCAGAGATCACACATATATTTTAATGGCTACGTGAATTTGAGTGTATGAATTGTTAGTCAACTATCAATAATACATTTTAAAGAAACTGCCAAACCGTTTTCCAAAATGGCTGCACCATTTTACATTCTAACCAGCAACATATGAAGGTATGTTCCTTTATATCTTTGGAAAACTTGTTATTTTCTGCCTTTTTTATTATATCAACCCTATTGAATGTGAAGTAGAATCTGCTTATATATTTAATTTACTTTTCTTCGCTGGCTCATGATGTTAAGTATTTTTTTTCATGTGTTAATTAGCTATTGAAATATCTTCTTTGATAAAATATTGTCATCTTATTGAACTTTAAGGGCTTTTTATACAGTTTGGATACCACCCTCCTATTGAAACAAAACAAAACAAAAAAATCACAGATATTCCCTCCCAGTGTCTGGCTTGCCTTTAATTTGATAATCTTTAAATTATCTACCTCTATTGGACAGAGAACCAAGCTGCAAGGGTCAAGTATTTTTGATATTTCTTAGAATTGTTGAAAGAATACAGCCATATAAACACAATTGTTGAAAATGCTACTATGTTGTGCTTTTAAAAACTTTGTAAAATACGTCTTTAACTCTGTGTCATCTTTTGAACTTTAAAAACAAGTGGCCCAATTGAGTAAGCTTCTGTTGGTTGAGAAAATAAAAATTTTACAGGAATTTTGGTTGTATAAGCAGGGCTGCTAGTGTCTCTCCATCAATGTGATGATGACTAGGTAGAATCATAGAGAATTTTTAAAAGTTTTAAAAGTTGAACTCATGGAAGGACAGTAGAATTGTGATTGCAAGAGGCTGGGAGAAGGAGATGGATGAGAAAAGGGAAGATGTTGGTCAAAGGGCACATTTCAGTTACGGAGAATAAATTTCAATGATGTATTACACAGAATGGACTATGATAGATAATAATGTACTTTATACTTCAAAATTACAAAAAAGGTAGATTTAAAATGTTTTTATCAGAAAAAAATGAAGTGAATTGTAGATTTGTTAAAAGCTTTATTTAATCATTCCACAGTATGAAAATATCAAAGCATCACCTTGTACCCCTTAAATATATAGCATGTGCAACTATTATTTATCAATCAAAAATAAAAAATACAATATGGAAGGAACTCTATGAGGACAACTGTTCCAATCTCCTATCACCTAGTTGATGCACTAACCACATTTTAACGACTTCAACACTTTAGGCAATGAGAAATTCAGTACTCTCTAATGCTTATTTTAATTTTTAACTTCATTTAGTGGAATATCCTTCTTATATTTGACCACAATTTACTTTTCTCTAGCTTATGTCTTGGATTAGTTCTTTTACTGCTATGTAACAAATTATGGCCAATCTAGTGATGTCAAACAATATACATTTATCATCTCACAGTTTCTATAGGGAGAAATCCAGGCACTAGCTGGATTTTCTGCTTTGAGCGGTTACCAGGCCCATGTCTAGGTACCAGGATGGGCTACAGTCTTCCCCCAGGCTTGACCTGCCCTTTCCATAAGCTACCTCACAACATGGAGGCTGACAGCTTCAAAATTAGCAAGAGAGAAATCCTCTCAAAGCCAGTTTACTAATACAGTCTTTTTAGTGTAACATAGACACAGCCATGTAATCTCATGGCCTCTGCCTTATAAAATATCCTACTTATGGGAGTGGCCTTCCATTATCTTTACCATATTCTATTGGCTACTAGGAAGTTCCAATCCTTTGCTCAAGAGAAGAAAGTTATAAAGGGTGTGAACACCATCAGTTGGCAATCAAGGGTGAGTCCCTTATAGTCTGTCTGAACAGACAATATGGCCTTCCACCCTCACTCCCACGAAACTCTTATTTGATGACTCACAACATTATCAAGGGCATAATTAAATCAGATGTTGAAAAAGAGTGGTGATTTCCAACACAGCTTAAAGAGAATAACAATAAGAACTACCTTCTGTGGGAAATCTTTCATGGTATTATTTAAACATTTATTTATTCATTCATTTTTATTTCAGTAGAGATATCCCTACTGACCCTGACATCCTAATAAAAAAATCTGAGGTTTACTCCAGCCCAAGTCCTTTACATTATGTCTTTGTAACATCTCTCCAAACTCACAGTCACTGTCTTAGTTCAGGTCCTTATCATTTCCTAGTTGGATGTTTTCATCACTTCTAATGGGATTTCTGCATTCAGTATTGCTTCCTTCTAATCCATTGCATATGTACTGATACCGGTGGTGATGTAATGATTTTAAATACCCGTGGTTTAAAAAATACTCAACACATTCAACATCCAGTAGTGAAACAGGCACAGGAAACCTGCTATGGACATGCCTCTATAGAGGAAGAAAGTAGGAGCCACTGGTCCATAGCAGTTCTGAAATTAAGCTGGAGAAATGTTGGAGACTCAAATTAGAATTCAGTCCTCCTCTTGTCCATAGCTCTTGGCTCCATTTTTTGGGACTATTGATTCTATCCTGCAAGTCAACGTTCCTGTTTTCAAGAAAGGTGGTATGTGTTTACAGCTGAATAGTTTTATTAGCTTCCTTTTTCTCGGTAAAATTTGGGAGACCAACAGCCTTTTCATTTTGTAGTGTCTCTGGAAGTGTTTTCACTGGTATAATTCTTTTTAAAACTGTATGGGTATACTATGAAATGTATTCAAATCCACTAAAATGGACAGAATTTTCATCTACAAATCTCTTTGAGATAATACTATCTCTATCTTAGGCTTCTGTTGAAAGACAACACCCTTAAATTTCTTAGAAGTCCCTCTGGCTTCATCTTTAGACCATTTTTTTAAAAACAAAGATACATGTGCTTGCCTGATAGAGACAAAGAAAGAGAGAGGGAAAGGGAGAAAGGATTCCCCATGGGGAATGGTCATGCCACAACCCCTTCTCCTTCATTTTTCCCTCATTTCAGGATTTTGAGCATGCATGTACGTTTGCCTGGCATGT